ACCAGCCCCAGATTGGCTACCCGCCCTCCCCAGCGACCAATCCCAAACAGCGATGCCTACGGAAGGCCCGCCTCTGTTCCGAATCCAATCGGAATCTCTATAGAGCGTCCCGCCCCTCACGGCAGGCGCCAATCAGAAACGCAGCACATGTTGCCCAGTGAGCAATCAAGAACGTAGGCGATACTAAGGCCCCGCCCCCAGCCCGTGCAGCGCCAGGTGAGTCTGTAGCGTCGGGTCCCAGCCCCGGGCTCGTGCAGGGCTGAGCAGCAGCACGTGTTCCGAATCCAATCGGAATCTCTATAGAGCGTCCCGCCCCTCACGGCAGGCGCCAATCAGAAACGCAGCACATGTTGCCCAGTGAGCAATCAAGAACGTAGGCGATACTAAGGCCCCGCCCCCAGCCCGTGCAGCGCCAGGTGAGTCTGTAGCGTCGGGTCCCAGCCCCGGGCTCGTGCAGGGCTGAGCAGCAGCACGAGGGCAAACCACCCCTACCGCGTGCACAGCCAGGGATGATCAGCGGGGTGGGGGCTCCTGGCTTTCCTGCAGTCGAACAGCACTTCCTCAGCTGCATTAGTTCATGTACCACCACCTTAAAAAGTGTGGACAGAGGGACCAGCAAGGGCTGCGAGCTCCTGAGAGGAGTGAGAGTTTAATCACTGGTCATTTATGGCAGGACAAAGTAACAGATCTGCCAAACTGCACCCCTCACAAAAAGTTTTGGGTCTGTCTGCAAAGTAATGTAAAAGGTTTGAGCACATTTGATGCTACATGTAGTGGATTATCTTCTCTAAGTATTTAATAGAAACAACATCTGATTAGGAATTTTGGGGTATTAGACTTCTATTTTTAGTGCAACAAAATCTTTACTTGCAGTGATCCTCTTTTACAAAGAAAACATTTCATTATAAGAAGGTTGCAGTTAAAACAATCCTTTATTAGTAGTTCTTGCATGACCTTGAATAAGGAACAAAGATTGGCATAGGAAAAAGTTAATTCTGGAGTACTGTACTTTATTCACAGTACAGTTATAGCAAGCATCCCCATATACTTCCCTGCCTGTGAGCCTCACTGCCTAGCTGTCAGAAAGTACTGTCAGTCATTGCTAGGTCAAGTCTGAACACTTTGACTTAGGCTTTCATTTCTTCTACAAAGCCTCTAAATCACTCGTTCCCCAGCTACTGAGTTACCACAAAACGAAAGAGGGAAGGGTAGCTTAACAGGTTCCACTGTTAGCATGCTATTCTTAGGGGTCTTTAAAAATGAAACTAAAGTCTCATCAAACAATTAGAAATAACTAAATCCATTTTTCTTAATATTCCATATAACATATTGTACTTCATAGAGAAAATGCTTCAAGGAGAGCATGTTTTATACTGCTAGCACTGTGATGGAGCTGGAGAAACAACACAGTGCTGGAAGGTCCTGAACATATAGGCTGTGTCTACACTGGGCCACTTATTCCGGAAAATCAGCTGCTTTTCCGGAATAAGCTGCGAGCTGTCTACACTGGCCCTTGAATTTCCGGAAAAGCAACAATGCTCTACTGTACAAAATCAGCCGCTATTCCGGAAAAACTATTCTGCTCCCGCTCGGGCATAAGTCCTTATTCCAGAATACTGTTCCGGAAAAGGGCCAGTGTAGACAGCCCAGTAGTCCTTTCCGGAAAAAAGCCCCGATCGTGAAAATGGCGATCGGGGCTCTTTTCCGGAAAAGTGTGTCTACATTGGCCACAGACGCTTTTCTGGAAAAAGGGCTTGTCCGGAAAAGCAGCCTGCCAATGTAGACGCTCCTTTTCCGGAAAAACTGAAAACGGAATAGTATTCCATTTTAAGCAGTTCCAGAAATTCATGCCAGTGTAGACGTAGCCATATTGTTTGATAATTAAGTAAAAGCTGTCCCAACATCAGAAATTCTAGAATAA